AAGTGAGTGTGTGCAAAGTAAATTAAAGTCCTAATGAGCTACAGCACCACAGGAGTTGCATCAGAATAGCTGCTTCAAACACACACTGCAACATTTTGCAGCGTGGAAAACATCTGGGCTGTGTGTGTCCAGCGTTTTTCTCCTGATAAATGAGCTCAAACTCCGAAATGCTGATTTAATATTGTGGGCATGCTCCGTGCACCACAAATTGGATGTCTCATTTTCAGTGGTTCCTGAACTGTCATGTTACAATTCAGTTTAAAAAAAAAAACGTTGGTTACAGGGTTGGAGAAACTTCTACTCAGATTAAGTTTAGTCAAGTAAAACAATCTTTAATTATCTTAACGCTTCATCAGCTACATAAAACTAATTGGACAAGTTTCCAGCCCAACTGCAATTTTTCCGACTTTCCTCACCGAGGAAGTTTTATCTGTGTGAACATTTGCATTTTCACACATCAGGCTCCTTTCACAAAAGTTTTGGGAGACTCAGCTCTTCTTGGGAGCATTGCTCATCCACATTATCGTGACATTTACACTGAGTGAAAGCATGAAAGACAATCAGAAAAAAATCATATTACACATAAGATCCCAAAACAACCGTCATAGAGGTTGCCATACTTGCACTGAGGCAGAAAACAACAACTCCTTAAGCACGACTCTTGAACCAAGCATCTTCTGACAATTATGTGATCTTGTAAAATCTGACCTTCAGAACTTCATCCTAAGAAATAAAGTGGCATTTGTAGCCCTGACCCCAGGGAACCGTGTGTGTGCGTTGTTTAAGACGTGTACACCCTATTATGCAGCTTTCCTCCGGTGGCCATGTGTGAAATTAAATTGACTTCTCAGCGCAGGGATCATTGCACTCTGTTTTGAAAGGAAACTAATGAACTCATGTTAATGAGGCCTTCCCCTTTACAATCAATAAAAACTGCTCATGGTGTCGCTCTAGTTGTGGAGCAGGACATACAGAGAGTGTCAGTCAAAGCAGCGCTTATTATTTGAACCCATTAAAGCTCTCATTTTCCATGCTGCGCACATGTCACGCTCAGTAAAGATTATTTCTTTGGTATTGATGAGCTGTAAATTCTCTTTGTGAAAAATTTCAAATCATCTCTTGTGAAGTTCCACACTGTAGCTGCTGTTGTTTGTCTTATTTTTTGGAGGTGGGGGCTCGGTTGAGAAACTGCTGATGGTATCAGGTGTTGTGACTCTGAATCAGAATTAAAATTTGAGAAGCGTTGGGAGCAGTTTTCTCGCTTCATGCTTCACATTAATAATTCGTCTAAAGCATTTTCTGTTCAGCCAAGTCTGCGGTGAAGTTTGATTAAGTTTAGGCAAGTAAAACTATTTAACTACCTAAATACGTCAAGACTTGTACATATTTACGCCAAGAAATGTAGGAGAGAATTAATGCACATGTGCATTACATGAGGAGTCGGTAGAGACAAACAACAGGTGGACCCACCTTTCCAGTGGAGTGCCATTGAACCATTGCAGAAGTTATTTGTTTATTCTGAAAATATATGATTTTCACAGACCGTTAGATGATGGTAAATGGACTGCACTCACATAGTGCTTGTCTAGTGTTATCGACCACTCAAATACACCCATTCACATGTACAGTGCATTCACACAGTGATGGAGCTGCCACCAGGGCCACTTTGGCATTCAGTATCTTGCTCAAGGACACTTCAGCATACGGGCTGGAGGAGCCTTGGATTGAATTGATTAGTGGACATCACATATGTAAGGTCCTTTAGTGTTTGGACTTTCACAGTTTTCTGTTTAGCTGCAGTTGTAAAGACACAACTTCAGCTGACAAACAACATCACCACAAGCTCAGCCTTGTTAATTTGGCTTGTAAAGACAAATTTTATGGTGTGATCACATTAGTAGTAATACATTTGCTGATCTCTCTGTTAGGTTTATCTTAAAAACAGTTTCATTGTAACACAAGTTTTAGTTCAATTTAGAAAGAGAAGATGAAAACTGCCCTGAGCAAAGCACGCCCCAGTGCAGTGTGAGGTCTCCGTCCTCTCCTCGGCTGATTACTGTGACTGCAGCAGCTTTATTGAAGCACAGCGCTGCAGTCTGTTGGCTAACAGCTTTTTTCCCGGTTTGGTTCTCTGTCTTTGGGGCATCTCGCTCTTTGACATCTTTGAACTCAGTTATGAAGGAGACCGAAGCGAGATTAGAGATTGGCTCGACTCCACAAACATGGCTGGAAGAGAGATTTGTTCCTTTCTGGTTTGTATCAGAAATGATCCCTCACTGTTCTCTCATTTACAACCATCGGTTCAGTGAAGTCGTCGCTTTGTGCTGTTGAACATTTTTCTGGGGATCAATAGAAAGTATGTACGCCTGATAAAGAAAGAAAAATAAACCTGTTTAATTTTAGATTTTATCAATTCTATTAATATTAGTGTAAGTTGCTTTGGATAAAATCGTCTGCCAAATGAGTAAATGTGATGTGATTTAATTTACTGTATTAATTTATCCTTTATTATTTTTATAAAATCTCAAAAAATACAAAAAAAGAGCCCATCCCAAATATCTTGTTTTCAGTGCGAACCCCAAAGATACATGTTCACTCTTTGTTCATTTTTGCTTTCTTCTCGTGACTATTACAAAAACAGATCTGGCGATGTGTCCTCTGAATGTCTGTAGTTTTATGCATATCCAGATTAAAGTTTTCTCATCACTTTCTATTATTAGAAGATTGAATTCACAAGATTATGCAGCCTTGGTTGAGCTTTGGCCACTTTAGGAGCTATTTGTAAGTTTTGCTATTGCTACATAGCCAGCGTCAGCATTAACAGCTGTTTATTTACCAGTCTAGAAGAAGTACTGCGAGTTCAGCATCAAACTTCATTCCTTCACACACTAAGAGCTGTCTCCACCGGTGGAAAGTAATGCCAATGTTAACTCTCGTCTCTATCGCATCTTTTCTTCTACTGAAGTTAGCATGCTAACCAGCTAGCCCCGGCATGTCTAACAATGACTCACTGTAGCCTCCAATCTGCTCTTAAGACGTAGCACTTCTCACAGGGCCAATTATAACCTCTTGTCTTGTGAACGCAGCGAGAGCCGAAGATCTTGTCAAGCCAGAATCACTGCCACCCGCCTCCTGCAAGAAAGCACATTTGTCAGCAGAGAAAACTTACCAATAGCTCCTTTAAGGGCTTTCAAGTTTATTTTTTTTTTGTTGTGACATGAGTTTTTAAGCAGCTCACATTAACCATTAGCCACCGAACCATTTACTGACGTGCACTTCAGTAAACAAACACTTGCCTTCATGGGGGCTTGAAATGAGCTTCTCCGGTTGAACGCTGGCCCTGCCCTTCACTCCTGCACACCTGCCCCCTGTAGTGATTAGACTGACCTCTACCACAATAATGTTATCTGTATACTTCTCCCCATCAAACCCTCCACTGAGTCGAATCAGTATCTAACCGTGTGGACTCAATAGATGTGCCACAAAGCATGACGTCTTCTTCAGGTGCTGTGGCCAGTGGTGCCAGGTCAACAGGTGTGGATAGGTTATTGATTTGTTAGGCCCGTCTCATCTTGGATATGTGTTGATAAGCGATGAAGATCACATGTCAGACAGCTGATATGTACTGTAAGTGTGTGAGACACATGATGGTGTGTGTAGGTGGTGTTAAAGTGGCAAATCTAACTGAGCTCATTCATGAGCTTGGGACTGGTTTGTTTCAACTTCCTGTTGCTGATACATATTTTATGCAGCATTTTCTGCATTTATACAAAGTGGTTGTTAGAGTGTGTCTTCAGCAGCCACTGACTAATGGTTAGTTTGAAGCAGACGTTAAAATGATGTATTCTTGAATTAAGCCTTTTCATCCTGTTTCCTTTTCTTCTTCATGGTCTCCTACCGTTGTTATGGAAATGCTGCATGGCAAAGCCAGCCCGCAAATTTTTCTTTACTGTCAGTGTTTGTGATCTCAGGCTCAGTAAGTACGGATAGTTCTTCAAGTCTTCAATCTTTGGTTTGAGCTTTTGATTTTTAAACTACAAAAGCATGTCGACAGTCCTGGGGAATTCTTAAACAACTCCATGTCTCCACGGTCTGTCTGTAGGTTCAGACAGTCGGTATTTCCCCAAAATGTAAATTATTCTGTCTCAGTTGTGGATAACCCTGTTAAGTTTGTGCACAGCTGCTTGAGTGACAGTTTGCACATGTTACAGCAGCCAGCTTCAGCTTTTCCATTGGTCAGGAGAACGGCACTGTCCGCACTGTCTCTGCACTTGTGTTAATCTGCACAGTGAAGGTCAAACATCTAAGTGAAATAACAATGAGCAAAACGACACATATAATGTATTTCGGTCAGAATTAGTGAATGTAAACATAGCTTGTTAATACCAACGACCATCGTCACTTGTCACCAAAACCATCGAGAAAAAGTCAGATAACATAAAATCTTGATATTAGAAGAACTTAATGTTAAAGTGCATCAGATATTAACTCAAACTTAACTTTTCCCATTTAAACTGATATTATTTGGACAGAAGCAGCGACACTGACAGTAGTTTACCCCTCTATGACATTGAGTTGCTTCCTTTCACTCGATGCTTTAGGGCACCTGAGGCCAGAGAGAACCTGTAGAGTGCAAAGAGATCTTTTTTTATCTCTATTTCAGTCAGTGGTTTAGAAAGAAATCATGTGAAATGGTAGTGTGTACCGTGTATGTGTGAGTTGCTGTATTGTTTGTACTGTATACATGTCCCATGTGTGGCATCCTTTCAAAGTTCACTGAGGTGAGACCAAAGACAGATTTCCAGCCCTGCAGCCATAATAACCTTTTTTCCTCTTATTTCCCCCTGTTGTCAGACTCAGGAGCTAATCTTTGTTGGATCTATAGTGAAACACTGAATTGAGTGCACAGTGAGCAATGAAGGGTCCCGGGGTCATTATTTTTCTCTTCCTCTCTTTGTGTCATCCATTTTCAGCTTGGCCATGTCCACTTGAGCGAGATCATGACTTTACTGAATGAGTCAGATCAGCTGTCCCCTCCCTCCTCCCCCCTCTCCTCCATAGAGCACAATTTCTCTGTCTTTGCCACCCATGACCCCTCATACTCCCCCGTGACCTTCCCCACCTCCTCCTCGCTCACCTCCTCCAACTGCACCAGCTCTCCGTCGGCCTCCTCTCCTCCGTACAACTTCTACGCCGTGCTGCTGGTGCTCCTGATCTTCTGCGTGGTGTTCGGTAACGTGCTGGTGTGCGTGGCGGTTTCTCGGGAGCGCGCTCTGCAGACCACCACCAACTACCTCATCGTCTCCCTGGCCGTGTCCGACCTGCTGCTGGCCACGCTGGTCATGCCCTGGGGCGTCTATCTGGAGGTGCGTTTGTTTTTATTTTTGGTTTATTGTATTTCTGTAGCGCCGGTGCTCTGACCCTCGCCCTGGTGCAGGGGGAGATAAACGTGGATAAATGTTTCTCTTTGAGATTATGTCATTTTCCATAAGCAGCAGAATACTTTCAGATCAGTATCAGATTTGTATTAGTCATGGCTGTTAAATGTAATTGATCATTTAATGAAATGGTTATGCAGTTATTTTCATTATCACTTAATCTGCTAATTATTCTCCTGGTTGACCATTTTAGAGCTGAAGCAACTAATCAATTAATAAATCAGTCAAATTACAGACAATTCACCAGCAACTATTTTGATAATTGATTAATTGTTTTAGTTATTTTAGGAAAAATAGAAGCTTCTCCGATGTGAGGATTTGCTGCTTTCCTTATATGAATATCTTTGGATGTTTGAATGCGTCTTCTTGGGCTGCGGGAAATAACAATATTATCGACCAACAAATGGAGAATCAAGATAATAATCGTCTTTAAAATGTCAGAAAATAGTGGTAAATACCCATTTGTCTCGTCAACAGGACAAAACCCAGGGATGTTCAATTTACTATCACAGACGAAGAAAGGCACCAAGTTCAAAGCGGGAAAATAAAAAACAATTAATGTTAAATTAAATGAATGCAGTTGTGTTGCATCCTGCATCACTCTGATGCTGCTGCAGCTTTCTGCATGATAGTTTCTACTGTGGCTGCTCTTGTGCTGTGGGAAATTAAAAGTTATCTTATCTTTGGGTTTGGTCCAACAAACAGCCCAAAAACAAAAACTGAATTGGTCTCACGTAAGACAGAAGAGAGCAGCGTATTCCCCCTTTTTAGAAGATGGGATCAGGAAATGTTTGGCATTGTTGCACGAGAAATGATTCAAATGATGAATCAATTGTCAATAAAAGAAGCAGATTACTTTCCTATTGATTAACTAATTTATTCATCCATATTAATTAGCTGTAATCAGTGCTAAAAATAGTTTTAACCCCAGTCTCAAGTATTTATGTCAGTAGTTGTTGAAATGGGTTCAGCGCAGGTCCAAGAAACTCACCCAAATAAAATAGATTAACTAATAACAGCTGACTGAGAATTATGAGTCGTGTCTCACTGATTATGAAAAAATAATGTTAGAGGGTAAAACACTAATTACTACGTCCAATACTTTCAAATCTAACAACAAACCCACATTTTTCATCATGATATTGGACTTACAATGAAACTCATAAATTCTTCGTGGCTAACGTGGGTGACTTCAGAAGCGAATCACAGTCGCCCACAGAAAAGAAGAACTGGGATTAAATATTAACGATACTCTATTAAGGGGAATAAGTTTGTACTGAAGAGTGATCCGGTCTGGTTAATATTAATGCTGCTCCGCTAGTCTGACAACATATTATTTTTGGCCCAAATGTATGAAAAGAGTGACGGAATAAAAGTCACTGAAAAGCACACAGGTTAAAAATGAAGGCGAAGGAAAAAATGTGTCACTCTGTCTTCTTAAAGGTGGTGGGGGAGTGGCGCTTCAGTCTCATCCACTGTGACATCCTGCTCACCCTGGACGTCATGATGTGCACCGCCAGTATCCTCAACCTGTGCGCGATCAGCATCGACAGGTGGATTCTCCCTCTGACTTTTCTCTGTGCTCTTACTCTAGTTCTTAGTTTCCCTCTCTGTGCCGGGATGTGTTCCTCTTTTCTGAGGATGTGTGTCGTCTCATTGTCTTGGGCTTTTAACCAACACTCATCATTTTTTCTGTCTTTTCTCACTATTGATCCTTTTCCCCTAAAATTCCCTCTCAGCAAGAGAAAAGGTTCATTAATGATAAATATGTCTTAAGTGATCAGGACCAAAATAACAAAGACGGTAAATCAATGTGTCATTTCTTTACTTTGCACCCTAAACCTTGATCTTCATTGGTTGAGTAGGAAACACATGTGCGTACACACACACACACGCCGACACTATAAAGATGCATCCTAGCTGTCACAGAGCCGCAGTGCAGAAGTCAGCAGGTAAAGACAGGTTTCCGCTGCGTCTTTTTACAATGTCCTCTGCAGTGTTTAGGGTTCATTTTCTTCTTCGTGGGTCGAGGAGAATGTGCTTGGTGATGCGGTCTTCCACCTGATGCCCTCTTCATGGGTCGAAGGGGAGGTGACCAGACGCCCAGCGGGCAGGCCGTCTGCAGCTGCGTCCTAATTCCTCTCATAAAGTGACATATCGAGGCTGCACCAGTTTACACTTGTGTAATTTGATGCGATGGCTAAAGATAGAGTCTCAATTGCTTTGTGGAAGCTGTAGACTACACGCTGCAGTCAGAAAGCTGCCTGGGCCTCAAGCCCCAGCAGTTAAATAGGAAACACTGACTGCAAATGACAGCAAGGTTAATGTGCTGGCAACTTTAATTTGAGGCTTCTTACATCCACGTCAGATTAACAGTGTAGGAGTCGTAGCCCTCCTTATTAGCATTAGCATAACCCCAAATGAAATAATCATATGTAGTGTAATTACTGTTTAGTCATTACTGCTGATGTTTTAAGGATGGCAATGCTGGTGTGTCAGTCTTCTCCTGATCTTTCAACTAGCGCCGACGTCAGGTCAAGATCTCTGTTTGTGCAGTACACCTGCAAAACTAATGACATTCCCATCAGCCTCACGTGTATGGGTAAATTCAGTTCAAATGCAATATTGTCCTTTTGTCGTCTCAAAGTGGCTGTGTACAGCTAGAGAGAAATACCTCACAAAATACAACGTTATCCCTTTAAACAAAAACAACTTCTGCAAGTAAATTCATTGTCCTGCACGATACTTGCATCATTTCTCCCTCACAACACTGACACATGTTCCTGAGGGGCGTTTTTTAGAAACACTAAAGTGCTGCAGCTCCAGTGTCTCCAGAATGTATGTTGCAGATTCTGACACCTGAAACAACAAAGACTTCCTGGAAACTGAATCTCTCGAAACCCCAAGTTTCATCTGTAGTGTCGTGAGTAACTGGGTGCTTTTGTCCGTGACCCTCTGCCCGCAGTCAGGATTACAGCGGCTCCCTGAAGAAGACCGCTCACACCTGCACTTACAGCAGACAACTCTAATTGGTTCTGACATGCTGCCAGTTTTTGTGTCCTTGTGGCTGTGAAACGAGCAGTGACAGCTTTAGTCTGTCTGTTTGTCTGGGCTCTCGATCAAGCGTTGCAGAGTTTACTTTTAAAATATGCGTGAATGTGACAATGAAGTCTGAGGATGCATTAGTGTGTGTTTACTCTGTATTTTGACGTGTGTGTCCAAATACAGGCACGGTGTGTGTGTGTGTGTGTGTGTGTGAGAGGCGTGCTTAATGTGCTCGGCGTTTGTGCGTTTCACGTATGTCCTCGTGCTGCAGATACACAGCGGTGGCCATGCCGATGCTCTACAACACCAGATACAGCTCCAGGAGGAGGGTGGCGGTGATGATTGCTGTGGTGTGGTTCCTCTCTTTTGCCATCTCCTGCCCTTTACTGTTCGGACTCAACAACACTGGTAAGAGCTACACGTGATCTGTCCACGAAACAGGGGGTTGTGCAGCGCTTACCGCTGGTCACAAATGTGCTTTGCCATTTTTACATAATTAATGACAGTCCGTAGCTGAGATTGGCAGCATCTACAGGCCCAGTGTTGACTTTAAAAAAACATGGAGATAGCAGTAAGGACATTAGATACTGTACGTCAAACAGGCTGAGACACTGAACTAGTTTTCTTGGAGCCCACATCCGAGCCCGTAACAATACGTAGGCCAAATAATATGTTCTTATTATAATGATAGCAATCACCATCTTTCTCTTGCTTCTCTTTCTCTTTTATTCTTCCTCCAGTTTTTTTTTTTTTTTTGCCATGGATGTAATCTCTTAGCGTGCAGTCAGACTGAGATAGCAGTTGATGCTGTGGCCAGTGTTGATTTCACACGACTGTAATTCCATTCTTACTTCACGTGGTAACAGCTGACACATTTCCACGACAACTGAGTAAAATCCATCCACTGATGAACCTTCAAGCTCCAGTGGGGAAAAAACACGGACAATAACACTATTACTTTTGCAGTTATATTAAATACTAACACCCCCAAATATTGAAAGAACAGAATCTAACTAAAAGAATTATGACTTGACTATGACTTTCCACAACACCCTAGATATTTTCATTGTATGCCTGAGGATGCTTCACTGTTGTAATAGTTACTAGCTCACAGTAACATCTGTAATCGCAGCCTTTATTGCTTAATTTCCTCATTATTGCTGCCCAGTCATATGTAAGAAAACAAGACCTTTTTCTTTAGAGGAAAAGTGATTTTGTTCTTTTTGATGAAAGAAATTTGGGGGCCATCATTTCTCTTTCATTAAAGAGCCGAATTGCAGGTCCAACATCTACTGTTGAAGCCACTGTAAAGAAAAACGTAGTGGAAAAAAAAAGTTTCCTGTAATGTATGCTAGTTTGAAAAAGTGAAGATTGGGTTCAGCTGTTCAGAGATGTTTTTTTTTTAACTTAGGTACATAGCCTTTTGCAATATCCTGGTCCATCTGTCCCTGAAATTCAATCTTTGATGAGATGATAAACAGATACCATACATCTGCTCATTTAACAAACCTTAGCGTGCAGTAAATCAGCACACTTTGTACTTGCATATCCATTAGCGCAGAGATACACAGCATTCAGTAACATTTCCGCCTGTTGTTACCGTCGAGGGAGTGACAGGTGACGTCTGCCCTGCAAACAAGTGAACACATAATCCTCGATTTGTTTGTTGTCTCACAGAAGGATCAGGAGTGAAGATGCTCCGCAGCTAACCTCTGCCTTAATGAAGGCGCCTGTGAGCAGGGACTTAAGCTTTGAATGTGCTCGCTCTGAACTCAAAGGAATCCACTTTAGAGTAAGTGGAAAACAAGAGGTGATGTGAGAGTTTGACACCCTCAGTTGTGGGTCTAAACACTGCGAGATTCTGACTGATGTAAGAACAAACTAAAATCTGTTCCACTCTCCTCAGTAACGGGTTGCTCGCAGATTACAGCACAGTTTGAAAGGTGTCTTTGGAGATTTTCATTCAAGTTCTTGTGCCAGTGTTTGTACTTAAATGATCAAATTGCATGGCTTGTGCATCATCACTGCCTTACAAATGAATTCAGATGAAAACAGCATCTCAGTTATTGAGTGTACAACACAAGGTCCAATTAGTAGCTGTTCTGGAGCTTTGGAACATATCACACAGTCTGCATCAGCAAATGCAAGAAAACCACAAGGTCAGTTTTTGAAGCCAGTGTGTTTGGGAAGTCGTTAAATGGAAATTTGAATTTTTCAATTTAATAACAACTGGCCAAACGCCATCTGCTGATGAAGATCATGTGGTATGAACCTCCAGCTGCTATTAAATGCATCCTGTGGAGAGATTGTTTTCTCAGTTGATGTTTCTGTAAGGTCAAGAATGAGCTTTTGTTTTTTGCAATGTAAGAAAATAGTAGAAAATACATCTGGGGAAATACTCTTATTTGATTTCTTCCTAAAAGTTAAGATGTGAAAATCGATAGCACTCAGCTACAGCCAGGGAGGAAGCAGGAGGAAAGTTTTTTTTTTTTTAAATTACATGTATTATCTCGTTGGTGGGTGGCACGGTGGTACAGTGGTTAGCACTCTCGCCTCACAGCAAGAAGATTCTGGTGGCCTGGAGTTTGGATGTTCGCCTCATGCTTGCGTGGGTTTTTCTCTGGGTCCCGGCTTCCTCCCACAGTCCAGAGACATGCAGGTTTGGTTAATTGGTGACTGTAAATTGTGAATGTGAGCACGAATGGTTGTTTGTCTCTATATGTCAGCCCCTGTGATGGATGGGCTTTACCCCACTCTCGCCCAATGTCAGCTGGGATTGGCTCCAGTTGTTTTTCTAACTACTTATTTGACAGACAAACAAAAAGCGAATAAGCATATTTCCCAAAATTTTTGAACTTTTCATTCAACATATTTCTGATTAAAACAAGATCTTGGGCCACAAAGAAACATGATTTGAAGGAACTGAAACAAAACTTAAATCTCGTAAAAATCCTCTGAAGGTTTCTGTACGATATTAATTCTCTGCATTTTCCTCTCTTCCATCTCTCCATCAGCCAGCCGCGAAGGCACCACGTGCAGCTTTGCCGACCCGGCCTTCGTGGTCTACTCCTCTGTGGCGTCCTTCTACGTTCCCTTCATCGTGACGTTGCTGGTGTACGCGCAGATCTGCGTGGTGCTGCGCAAACGAGGCAGACGCACCGCCCCGCCGCGCAGACACGGTCTGCACACGCAGGGCGGCGCAGAGGCAGGAGAGGGTCATCGGCACAGAAAGGTAGAATCCGTAATGGGATGTCGACTGAACTGTCAAGTGTTTTGATGATGCCTGCGTCTGACACACTTAACACCATCACATTATTCTGCATCAGCTTGTTCCAGCTCTTTGTTGTTCTACATGCTGTAGTCATGCTATCACTTTGAAATAATCCAGATATCTTGTGTATAATTTTACGCAGTCTTCCCCAAAATTGTTTTGGAAAACGATGGGATCTTCTCTAGATTTCAAAATAAAGTTCTGTAGGTTTGAACAATGTTAAGCTGCACTCCAAGCAAACCAACAAAACACAACCTCCTTGGTGGAGGTAACGCACAAGGCCACCGTGCAAGAGCAGTGACAGTGTATTACTCTGGTGTAACTTGAATATAATGTCTGACTTCAGCTTATATCAATATTGTGTATATGTGTATATTTTGGCTGATATTTAATCAGAAATCCAGCTAAATGTCAGGGGTTGTTATCAAAAACCGTATCAACTAATGTATCTGTATGTTATCATTTTTTTACTCTTTAAATATTGATATCAGCATCAACCTCAAATTATCCAGCATCTTCATCAACTTCTCCAGGATCCCCCTCGTCACCACAGGTTCTCCTTCTCTTCCAGAATAAGTGTACACAGCCGGAGGATGTGAAGTTATGCACCCTGATCCTGAGACCTGCCACTGCGGCCCCGCAGCGCAAGAAAGTGGTGAGTGTGTTGACCAAGTCGATGCGAGGGGTCTGTCTCTTCACCGTCACTTTGCTGTTTGTCCTCATGCAGTCTGCTACCTCTGCAGTGATGCTCCTGTTTTCCCTCCTCTCCGTCCCACATCCATTAATGTCCCACTGAGTCCCTTTTCTTCCCACCCTTGTTTCGTCTTTACAATCAAGCACCCGCACCTTTGTATGTCCCCCAGTGCCTACGCCCCTCACCCTCCTTCCTCCCTCTCTGTTTGTCAGACCCTGGTGAAGGAGGCGGTGGTTCACCCCCTCGAAGTGGAGCCGGGTCAGTTCCTGCCGCAGACCGAGCAGAGTCAGGCTCCTCCCCCTGCTCCCCAGCCCTCCTCCCACTCGGGACGGGCGAGGATCTCCCTGTCCATCTCAGTTGGACCTACCCCGGTTCTTCCTTCAACCGTGACACGATCGGCCCTGACGCCTCGCCCCCCCACCCTGGAGGACGGCATGAGGGGACGTGAGGGATGGAGGGAGCGCAGCGGAGGCAGAGAGAAATGGGGGATCACCAAGGAGAGGGTGAGAGGGAGGCTGTCACAGCAGAAGGAGCGGAAGGCGACACAGATGCTCGCTATTGTGCTCGGTGAGCGGAGGGAGGCGCAGACTAACTGTACACATTCTCCCTGCCTGTCTGACTCTGTGTGTGTGTGTGTGTGTGTGTGTGTGTGTGTGTGTGTGTGTGTGCGTGTGCGTATAGCTGTCTACTTTGTATACAAACTGGTCTACGTGAATGTTTAAGTGTAGTAAATTTGCTACATTTAATATCCTCAAATAAAAGATGGAGAAATAGTTCAACGTTTTGAGAAACATAGATGACAGATGTAACATTAGATGCGAAGAACATCGCCGCTCTCATATCGAGTTGTTAAATATGTGACTGGAGCCAGGGGACAGTTAGCTTAGCTGTGCACAAAGACTGGAGAACAGCTAGCCTGGCTCTATCCAACAGACACACAATTCACTTATCCGCACCTCTGAAGCTCACTAGTCAACACTTTACATCTGGTTGTCATCGATCTTCTCATCTAAACTTTCTCTCTCTAGAGAGAGTGAATAGTTGGACATTTGAATGTTGAACTTTTCCTTTAAACCCTCTCAAATCCGGTTATCTCACACAATTCAGTTTTACTTTGATCTTTCTTGTAATTTTAAGTTTCATATATATATACTGTATATATTTGAGATTTTAGGAAAAAGATTGTGAAGAATAGTTCATTAACAGACTCCATGAGAGTTTTCTGAGACTGACAAAGATCTTATCTGATAAAATGAGAACGTATGTAATAACTGTAGCAACTGACACTAAATCAATTTCAGCTATCAGCTAATTTATTTTGAAAGGTTTCAGGGAAATTAGCTGGAATACACAGGACCCATAAAATAAATTATTACCAGAGAAACCAGATTAAAATCTGATCATAAAATACCTTTTTGAGCATAAATACTCTGCAGTTTGACTTTTTCTTTTCTATTTATTTTTTATATTACCATTCTTTAGACGGAAGGTTTTGATGCATATTTGGAGAAAACCTTTAAGAAGAAAGTTGTACTTATTTCAGTAAGAGACAAATTGTTAAATCTTTAAATTTTCATGGCCTCCATTGTTTGTGGCTTTTCATTTGATTGTATTTTATCATCTGTTTTGTGATTTATGTGACACTGCTGCTGCATCGCTGCAGTTGGGATCGATGCGAGTCTCTCTATCTGTCTAGCTATCCTCTTTATGTATTGTTTCATCACAAATGCAGAAGTTGGCAGGATATTTCATTAATTATATCTCTGCATCATTTGTGTCACATCCATGTGGGGCCACTAATCCACTTCCTGTCCTGTTTCCAAGGCGTGTTCATCATCTGCTGGCTGCCTTTCTTCCTGACCCACGTGCTGAAGGCCCACTGCAGGAGCTGCTGTATCTCGCCCTCACTGTACAGCGCCGTCACCTGGCTGGGATACCTCAACAGTGCCGTCAACCCCATCATCTACACCACTTTCAACATTGAGTTTCGCAAAGCCTTCATCAAGATCCTGCACTGCTGAGAGCCACGGAGATGAAAAGTGTCAGCTATCAAGAAAAAAAGAAAAAGGCCTGGCATTTGTTTGAGATCTGACGTGAGAGTGAGTAGAAGAGAAGGTAAATAAGATCATGTTTTGATACGCAGGAAGAGAGGGATGAGAAAGTGGAGCGGGTGACTGATGAGGTAAAGCGATAATAGCTTTCTGGAAAATTAAAGATGAGAGAATTGAAACCAGCAGCTCAGACAAAACTGGGGAAAGACCCAAATAGAAGCAAACGGCTAGAGATGATGGCAAAAGAACCAGTGCGTGGCAAATAAAAAGACAGCTACAAGAAACACAAACAAGCGGGAGATTGGAAAAGGAGACATGCGCTGCGATGTGTTCTTATACTCTGTAAAGGGAATATGTGAGGACTGCGGATCTTGCCACAGCATCCCGACAGCAGGGCTCCACCTATGAGAGCCTCCCTGAGACGTGACTGTTTTCCCAATTTATCGAAACACTTGATCCGTGTCGGACTCTCGCTGTTGTATTTCCTCGTAATCTTGACAAACAGCATCTTGTTATTTGTTCGCATGTGCTAGTCTTTCTCAAAGACCTGGTGTAAGTCTCTGACGTCTGAGTCCAGCACAAGCTGTTTTTTGTTTTTGTTTTTCATTCTCACACTCACGGCTTGATCATTTTTCATACTTTCTTACAGCCCACTGAAGTTACATCAAAGCAGAATTATTGATTTGATTCAGCAGACGTTGAAGTCGATGTAAACACTTTTTGCTTTAAATAGGTGTACATACATGTAAAGTCTGGTGTTGTAAATAATCCTTTAACTGGTTTAGAACAGGATTCACAACTGTTGTACTTTGTTTTGAAATAATCGCCGTCATAATGAATTGAAACAACTTTTCTTGTGTCAACAGAGATTTTCTGTTTTTACCCAAGATGCTCATTAAACATAGTATTTCTTGTAAAATAAGATGAAATAAAATAAGTGGAATGGAATAAATAAACAAATCTGCAAAGCGTTGAAAGTACAACTAGAAAGCAATTTACTATATTACATTTGCAGTGGCACAGAGGCAGTAAAAAGCACTAAGAGCCCCAGTGACTGTAAAGTTACACAGGTATTTTGCACATTTGAGCAGGTGGTATTCAGACAGAACTGGTCAGGATTTCAGATGAGCATCGTGTGTTTTTTTTTTGTTTGTTTTTAAGTTTCTATGCTCTTCCTATCAGTGTGGTGCAAAATATTGCCATGGGTTTTTTCCTGTTTTTTAGTCGTGGGATTGGAAGATGTGCATATACTGTATGTTTTTTTTACTCGTCCTTCCGCTAAAGATACGTTGCGTTAAACATATAAAAGATTCATGGCCTGGGCCCCTGAAATAAATGTTTTTGTCTAATTGAAAACACATCCTGCCTCTGACCATTTGAGAGTTGTTTTAATTGCTTTAAGTCCATTTACTCATTATTTTCATGCTATTCAGTAACATTAGCTTTTCAATTAGCCAAATAGCATAAATGGCAAAAATAATTCTGTTCAAAGTTTAAAAAAAAAAAAAGAATCTGCACCTCAAAAGTTCACCAATCAACATGTAATATCTCACCTGTTTAATCCAAACCAAGACTAAACTTTAAAAAAGATGAACTGTGTTTTTACAAGCAGCTATGTGCCTGACTATTTATTGGCTGGGAGCTGCGTCTCCCTGGAGTCGGCACTAGTTTCCCAGCCTGAACAGATTGTTAATGTTGTATTTTATTTGGATGTTACTGTAAGTGATGGAGGCTATGCAGCAGTTTAGTCACCGTTTTGTTGACACTTGTATTGTTTTATCTTTTCACCAAGTCGTCGTCAGAAAATCTGAAAATCTCTGACTTGGAACTACAACTCAGAGGTTGACGTATATTATTTTTAGTATTAATTTCATTACTTCGAAACAATAAGACATGAATGTGGCAGTAAACCCTCCTAAAACCAAAACATATTTTTACAATGTCCCCATGCTTCCAGTCTTTACGCTAAGCTAACTGTCCCCAGCTTCACCAGCTTCATATTTAACAAATAATCTTCCCATCTGGCACTTTGTACAAATGCAAATAAGCTTATTTCCCCAATTGTCAATACTGCCAATACTGTAATATCATTCAATGCCATTAATAGAATTTCAAGAAGCCAAAACACAGTCTAGGACCTTTTAAGAAAAGTTGCAGGATTTTGAATGTAGAGATATTTTTAGTAACCCGATAACCTACAACCTATATCACTGCAATCCCTTCCTGGAGTCAGCGTCACCTTTCAGCCACAAATGACAGTAACGAAAGATTCAAGCACCCAAGTGCCAGAAAGTTTGACTGTCACAGGGAAAGATATAAAAGTTTGGTTCACTGTCTGTGACTGGCAGCCTCCTGACAGTAGCTCTGCTGTTCTGTCAGTAAACCCCACCGATGTGCCTCTGTGCACAGAAAAAAACAAATGCTGTTAAGTTGCAAATGCTGCTGCATCACTGGCGGCTGTGGAGAAGCTGAACTAGAGGTCTTCCTCTCCTCCCCTGCCTGACGCCTCGAGGAGGGGAAGCTGGCAGAGCTGTGTATATCTGAGGAGTTCAGATTGGTGCAAGTTGCCAGTCGGCCTGATAGGAGTAAACAAGGACTCTGACACCAATACAGGCACAAATGAAGCCTGCGTGTTTTATTATTCATTCATTCAGTCAGTGTCATGAGCAGATGAGGAGGATATAACTCAATCACATTATAAACAACAAGCAAGGAATAAGATTTTTTTTTTTAAAATATCAGCACAGGAAAATGTGTATAGGCCTATGTATTATAGATCATTTGTCTGAGGTGGCCCCAAAGTACACAAAGAAACGTTTAACAGAGTAAATAAAATCAGAACAGCAGCTCAGGAAATCTTTTAGCACAAGTGAAAACCCAGCGACTGCAAGAAAATAGAAAACAGTGACATGTTACCCAACTAACAAATAACAACATTTCACTAAAGAAATACAAAAAAAAAGAATTAGATATGCTATCAACATGGCTGTGTGGATGTTGGCCGGTCCGCTGCTTCTGGATTGAAATACCTCAACAACTTTTGGCTGGATTAGCACAAATTCATGGTCTCCAGGATGAATCCTACTGACTTTGGTAATGTCCTGACTTTGCCTCTACCACCACCATTGTTTTGAGTTGAATGTCTCAACAACTATTAGATGGAACCAGTGACATTCCCATCAGCCTCAGCTGTACTGTCTGTTTACTGCTAATTAGCAAACGTTGGCATGCTAGCATGCTAAACTAAGATGGTGAACATTATACCTGCTAAACATCAGCATGTTAGCATTACTGTCACTGTTAGCATGCTGACATTAGCATGTAGCTTGCGGTGCTGCTGTCCAACATACAGCCTCACAGAGCTGCTAGCATGGCTGCAGACTCTTTGTGTTGTTTTGTTGAGCATGTTTTATGTTTTCTGTCTTTGCTGAATTTATTTTCTGTTTTCTGTCTTTGTGTTTTTTTTTAGATTATTTCTATTACAAAATATATATATTTCAGTCTCTTTTTATGTAAAATGTCATATTTTATTTGTTTTGTGACATTTCACCAATCAGTTTAGTCATTGTTTTAGGAAATGATGCATTTCTGTCTTGACGTGTATTTTATGAAATACCTTCACTTCTTGTGTGTTTATTTACTTGTTTGTTTGTTTGTTTGTTTGTTTGTTTGTTTGTTTGTTTGTTTGTTCACTCACAGCCCGCAGGTTGATCATACTGTAGACAGAGTGGTGTGCATGTCTGTTCAGTAATGTAACCTAGAAGATGCTGAGTAACACCCTGACCGGGGTTCCTCGTCACTGCCAGCACCTTGCACTATGCAGTAACATGATAGGACACACGAAATACCCCAGAGGAGACCGGACATGCACACACAAAGACTCATACACACAATTATGCCTCTTCAGATTCATAATAGGAGTATAATTGTTGGATAGATATCCTTCAACTATGTGAAATTAAACTCCGTGACTCTGTGTATGTGTGTCTGTCTGTGCTGCCATTATGTTCCTCAGTGCTTGTGAGTGGGAGCAACTCAGTGGTGTGGTGTACATTACCCTCTGTTGTTAAACTCTGACCCAAGCTCACAATTATCCCCATGCATATTTCATAGACGCGCGATGACAAGAGTCACATATCTGTTACTGCCCTGACTGCTGGAGCCTCACCTGCTCTGGCCAGGAGAGAAAGATTAAGTTGGAGAGGGAAGAAGAGTAGATTCGGGGGAAGAGAAGTGTGAAACAATGAAAGGATTAAGTGGTAACTGAGGAGAGAAGGAGGAAAATTGCAAGAGAGAGGAGGTGAGGAACTGCTGTGCGAGCTGTAGATGATGGATTCACAGTAACGGGGCAGATATCTCCGGATGAAAGATGCTCCAGGGCAAACGGGCATCTTCAGGATCGCGTCACTGACAGCGCAGCAGCGATGCATTTGTTTTCTCCACTGTGGTACAAGCCGGTTTAAGCGGAGGAGGCACGCTCAGCTGTATAATCCTATGCATACAAATGAAGTCGACACATGCAAATCTGTACAGCACGACATTCAGGTGAGAGCGCTTGTTAAAATGTTTTGAGTCGGTAAAAGCAACACTGATGTGAGGAACTGTGTGTTCAATCAGATGTCCTTTATTGCTTAGTTATAAGTAGTTAATTATATATATCACAATTCTTAGTTAGTTAAATTCATTGTAGATTTAGTAGTACTTTAGTCAGAGTAAGCTTGTATTTGGATGTTAAGTCATTCTTTAAATTTCTTTTGGGAAAATCAGATTAATTCCATCTCATAATTTAACCAGGCGTAATTACCAAAATCAAATGTGACGTTTGTTTAAAAAGAAGTAATTCACAAAACCTTCTTTTTTGAATTGTAGACAGACGGACAGACAGACAGACAGACAGACAGACAGACAGACAGACAGACATGTACACATGTATGTATGTATCAAAAGTTACTCACTAATGCATTTTTTTC